GATGGTGACCAAATTGATGAGTTCTCAAAGGAAGATTTCTTGGACTATTTCAACACTGATGTTGTCCAATTGCAGGAGGATGGAGTGCTGCAGGCAGTCACTGGTGTCAAGAAGCTTCAAGAGGGACAAGATGTGGATTGTGTGGGAGAGATAAAGACCTTCACCACAACTGTCTTTGTTGATATCAGTGTCAATCTGGAAGAGATCGGGGCACAAGAGAAACTTCTGTTGGAGGACACCTTCCGGACTAGCTACAATGGGCTCGCCTTCTCTGTTTGTGATTCTTACTTCCGTACTGTTGTCGGTGCAAGCCTGGAGGAACAAGATGTCGCATCCTGGTATGATGGGAGACGCCTTCAAGAAATGCCATTCAATTCCTCCTCCCCTTTTAATGAGTCAATTTCCGACTGGGCCTCAAATGCAAACACCACTAGCAACCAGTCTACATGGCAAGTCAGGAACCGGGAGGCAACTACAGTTTTCTCGGTCACCGGCCAATGCAGGGGCTGCCCAGTTGCTGATAACAGTCAATTTGCACTTTTTGATGACACCTTCAGAAGGAAGCTTCAAATGGCAAGAAAAGATTTGATGCTGGAGCCAGGTCGTTTCCTTCAAGATGGTGGCGATGCATGTGTTTGCCCAGCGGGTGTCTCTCCTGGGGAAGGCGGACCTGTGACTGCAGCAGACTTCCAGGTTGTCTTTAACCATCAAGTGGAGAAGGAGAAACTGGACATTTTTCTGGCAGCTGTCAATGTCACAGTGGACAAAGTGATGGAAGGGCAGCAGGTGGAATGCAGTGCTGATGACTCAGAGTTCACTTCCTATGTTTATGTTGACTTCGAGGTGAACCGCAGCGGTGACTTCCAGTCAGTTTCCGAGAAAGATCAAATCCTGTTGGAACAGAGTTTCATGGATCTCTTTAACCAACTCTCCTTTTGGTCCTGTGACCCATACTTCAGAAATGTGCAGGAGGCAAGGCTAGAAGTGAACATTGACACAGCCCTTGTTCGGCGGCAGCTTCAACAACAATGGGTTCCCGATGACAATGCTATTAATACCACCAACAATACACAGTATCAGGCTATAAGCAATGATCACAATGAGTCTGCAGTACGAGGGGCAACAGCAGGGTCTGTCTTTGCCGTGACTGGTCGGTGCCGAGGTTGTCCAGTCAGCGATGTTGGAAGCTTCAACCTGTTTGATGATGCCTTCAGACGGAGATTCCTCATGCACGACAACAAGCAGGATAGACTCCCCTTCGAGGCACAGCAGCGGAGTCTAATAAGCAACTCTTCTTCCTGTATCTGCCCTAGTGAGGGGAACCGCATTGATGAATTCTCGAAGGATGACTTCCTTGACTACTTCAACGACTTGATTGTCCAGCTGCAGGAGGGTGGTAGCCTGGAGACAGTCACAGGTGTTGGGAAGATCCAAGAGGGACAAGATGTGGATTGTGCGGGAGAGTTAAAGACCTTTACCACAACTGTCTTTGTGGATGTCACCGCAAATCTTGATGAGATTGGCGAAGACGAGAAGCTTCTTTTGGAGGAAACTTTCAAATCTACCTACAATGGGCTTACCTTCTCTGTTTGTGATTCCTACTTTCGAACTGTAGCTGATGCCAGTTTAGAGGAACAAGATGTCACATCCTGGTACAATGGGAGACGCCTTCAGGAAATGCCACTTAATTCCTCCACCCCTTTGAATGTATCAAGTTCCGACTGGACAAGCACCAACACTACTTCCATTCCAATCACAAACCAGTCTGCATGGCAAGTCAGGAACCGTGAGGCATCTACAGTTTTTTCGATCACCGGCCAATGCAGGGGCTGCCCTGTGACCGACACGGGTCATTTCACATTGTTTGATGACGCCTTTCGAAGACGGTTGCAACAGGCAACCGCCACTAGCTTGCCTCTGCAAGGTCGCCGTTTCCTTCAAAACAACCGTGACGCTTGTGTTTGCCCAACAGGCATTTTGCCTGGTGAGGGTGGAACAGTATCGGCAGAAGACTTCAGAGTTGTCTTCAACGACCAAGTGGAGAAGGAAAAGCTCAATGTATTCTTGGAAGAAGTAAATGTGACTGCTGACAGCATACTCGAGGGACATGAGGTGCAATGTGGAACTGGACCTCAGAAGTTCACCACAGAGGTATTCTCTGACCTTGGAGTTAATCTCACAGTTCTCACAACAGATGAAGTGCTGGCTGTGGAGGATACCTTTTGGAAGACGTATGCAAACTTGGCCTATCAATTATGTGATGGAAATTTCCGTAAGTGAAACAGTTCATCTTGGCGTCTCAGAATCGTTTCTATAGAGTCCTAATCCTTCTCTACTTCTCAGGTACGATTGAAGAGGTACAACTTAATGTTGGGTCATCCAAAGACATATTCCCAGGTCGGCGGCTTCAAGAGCTATCTAACAGTACTGTGTCCAACAGTACTTCTAACCAAACATTTGTTGATGACAGAAGGTCGAACCGAATTGGAGCAACCTTATTCTCGGTCACAGGAACGTGCCGGAACTGTCCCGTATCTGCGACAGGGGGCTTTAATCTCTTTGATGATGCATTTAGAAGATCTCTCTCTGAGGATGTCTCAAAACATGATTATGGGGCTTCTAGAAGGAGGCTGGGAACGAATAGTACCTGCATCTGCCCCATTGGAACTGAACCTCGAGTTGGCCAAGGACCAACAGCACTGGAGTTTGAAGAGAAATTCATTGCGAAGGTGGAAGTTCTGATAGAGGAGGGTGTACTGTCCTCCACCTCTGTTGCTGTCCCGGCCACCGACATTTCAGAAGGACAGGAAGTCACGTGCAGCTCTGGTGTTCAAGAATTCCGATCAGCAGTCTATATTGATATTGGAGTTGACCCAACTCTGCTCTCGCCAGAAGATGTTCAGCTCTTGGAAGAGGCTTTTGAGGGAGCATACAATAGTCTTTCATTCAAGGCTTGTGATGGCTTCTTTAGACTTGTTGCTGATGTGGAGCTGGTTGCAGATGCAGGTGTTGGCCCCATAAGACGCCAGCTTCAGGAGACCAGCAATTCATTCAGGAACAACACCACAAACAGCAGCATTCATTCAAACTCAACCAATGCAAGCTATGAATCTGCTGTCAATGGTACCGCTGATGTTCTCACTGCATCAAATGCAACGAGCCAGACTGTGACCAATCAATCCGAAGCCCCTTTGTCTGGTCCAAACACATTTGCCCTGTTCATGATCAGAGGGAGGTGTCGAAACTGTCCAATTGAGATCAATGGTGTATTCAATTTGTTTAACAGCACTAGTGGCCAGAAAAGTCAACGCCGTGCATCATCAGGCAGCTGGACTCAGTCATGGTGGAGGAGGAACATGGCGGAAGATGTGAATACCTGTGTTTGCCCTCACGGTTTGGAACCTGGGGTTGAGCCAGCTGTAACTGTCCAAGAATTCTTCAAAGAATTCTTGGGACACGTCAATGAAGCAAAGAATGACGGTGCCACCATTTCAGTGGAAGACATCATTGCTATTATTGAAGTGTCTTCCTGGGATGGCAGGACAGCCTCCTTGACTCTGCCTCCAACACCTTTGCCTGCCCAACAACCCACTGCAACAGTGACATCGTCACCCGAGTCTGATAACCCAGGAAGCGAAGCACAAGGAACCTCCAACCCTACTAGTACTGCTACTCCACAGGCATGTGAGTCTCAGATAGTTCTCTTACAGGAAGAAACTGAATGGGCTCTCAGCACCAATGATGGGAGTGTGAGCAGAGTCGTAACTGCTCCTAACAAACCCAGCCAAGATGCGGCTACTGTGATCCATGTCGAAGTTAGCCTTAATCTGTACGAGATTGATGCATGGGCAGTGGGGGACACATTCTTTGTGGATATTATGGGTTCAACCATGTATTTTGAAGATTTGCAGCCAACCAACAGCAGTGAGTCGCTGAGTACAGTTGATGGAACTGCCATTTCCTGGGTTTCGGAGTCAGCTAGCTTGGGAAACACAGGAGAAAGACAAAGGGTACAGTTTATTGTCCCATCAACGCTCTTCTCTTCAGGGACACTTTCTGTTGCTTTCGGAATGGTATCAAGTACAGCGTCAAATGCAAGGACTGGAGTGGATGGTCTGGTCATCTCGGCATTCTACGATTGTTCTGACACTGACCATATTGGGGACAATTTGGAGATAGACATCACATCAGTCCCGCGTACGGCAGAGCCAGTCACAACGCCTTCAACAACAAGTCCCACGAATGTTCCCACTCCTCAACCTACCTTTGGACCGTCAACGTCTCCTACAACCAAGAATCCTACTCTTGACCCTACTGTGATTCCAACAAAGTTACCCACACCATTTCCAACCAAGAATCCTACCTTATCTCCAACTCCTGAACCCACAGAAGAACCCACACCTGAGCCTACTTTAGAGCCCAGTCCCGAGCCAACATTGCTTCCAACTTCCCAACCCACGCCACAGCCAACCACAATGCCATCACCAGTCACTGATGTGACTCCATCAACCAGTCCGTCAGGCATAGCTTGTAGCCTACAGTTTGCGACAGTGGAGGCTATCTATTACTTGGTTTTTGAACAGGACACAGCTGGTGCCTCAGATCTTGACATGGAAGACTCCTTCACATCTGCTGATGCCGCTCTGGAAAAGGAGGCATGTGACCCTGTTGTTGTGGATGCCACAGTCCAAGGACGCTTGAACCAAAGGCGATTGCAAGGTACCAGTGGCAACACAGTGGCTATCATAGTTGAATCACTTCAAGTCAACAATGGCTTCATGTTCCAGATCAATGCTGCAACAACGAGCTTTCTATCAGCTTTCAACGCACATCCAGCAATGCAAAGGAACTCATTGGAGGCTGTTGGAATTTTGGCATCCTTGCCAACACCTGCACCGACTTTCAGCCCTACCACAGCACCCTCTACTCAACCGACTACACAAATTCCTACTCGGACTCCTACTCGATTTCCCACACAACAGCCAACCAATGTGCCAACTATGCTGCCAACAGTTTCTGCTGGGGCGCCAAGTGGGAGTCCCACAACAGCAACTCAAGCACCCACAGCACAGCCAACCATTTCGCCAACCATGCTGCCAACAGTTTCCGCTGGGGCGCCTAGCGCGAGCCCCACAACAGCAAACCCAACAAGAGCTCCAACCCAATTTCCAACAGTCTCGCCCACTAAATCTCCAACAAGTCCACCCACAAGCATATCAACTGCACCTCCATCCAATGCCACAACTCTCGGCCCTACCGAGGCACCCTCTGCTCAACCGACAACACCAACACCTACCGGGACCCCTACTGAAGTGCCCACTGCACAGCCAACCAAGGTGCCAACTATGTTGCCAACAGTTTCTGCTGGGGCGCCTAGTGCGAGTCCCACAACATCAAGTCCCACAAGATCTCCAACCCTATCTCCAACCGACTCACCCACAAAGTCTCCAACAAGCACACCAACTGCGCCTCCATCCAATGCCCCAACAGGAGTACCTACAACCCAGCCAACAGAGAAGCCAACCAATGCACCCACTTCTTTGCCTACTGTTTCTCCCGGTGCCCCAACGAAGTCTCCGACAAAATTGCCAACAGGAGTACCAACCAAGTTTCCCACCAATACTCCAACCAAGATGCCAACAAGTGCTCCAACCAAACCACCAACGACACAGCCAACCAATGTACCCACAGACACTCCAACTGTTCTTCCAACAAGACAACCCACCAACCTGCCTTCGAATGTTCCATCCTTGCTTCCCAGCAGGGCTCCATCTGCTGTGCCATCTACAATTCCGAGCAGAATCCCATCTGTTGTCCCTTCGAAATCTCCTTCTTCTTCACCATCAACTTCACCATCCGATGCACCTTCTACAATTCCAAGCAGTAGTCCATCTACAATCCCTAGCATCAGCCCCTCCGATTTTCCATCATCATTCCCTAGCATGGTTCCATCAGACATGCCTTCTACAAGTCCAAGCACCAGCCCCTCGGATGTGCCTTCTACATCTCCTTCTGCTGCACCTTCAACTTCTCCCTCTGAGGTGCCCTCAAAGAGCAGCAGCCCATCTGATGTGCCTTCGATGTCTCCTTCTTTTGCCCCATCAACTATGCCATCACGTGAACCTTCTACAAGGCCAAGTAGTAGCCCATCCGCACTCCCTAGCATCAGCCCTTCAAATTTTCCATCCTTGCTTCCCAGCAGGGCTCCATCTGCTGTGCCATCTACAAGTCCAAGCAGAATCCCATCTGGTGTTCCTTCCAAGTCTCCTTCTCTTCACCATCAACTTCACCATCCGATGCACCTTCTACAATTCCAAGCAGTAGTCCATCTACACTCCCTAGCATCAGCCCCTCGGATGTTCCATCATCAAGCCCGAGCATGGCTCCGTCAGACGCACCTTCTAAAAGTCCAAGCAGTGGTCCATCTACACTCCCTAGCATCAGCCCCTCGGATGTTCCATCGTCAAACCCCAGCATGGCTCCATCAGATGTGCCTTCTACAATTCCAAGCAGAAGCCCATCAACACTCCAAGCACCATTCCCTCACATGTTCCATCATCAAGCCCGAGCATGGCTCCATCAGACGCACCCTCTAAAAGTCCAAGCAGTAGTCCATCTCACTCCCTAGCATCAGCCCTTCGGATATTCCATCGTCAAACCCCAGTATGGCTCCATCAGATGTGCCTTCTACAAGTCCAAGCAGTAGGCCATCTACACTCCCTAGCATCAGCCCCTCGAATGTTCCATCTCAATCCCCAGCATGGCCCTCGCATGTGCCTTCTAAATCCAAGCCGAGCCCATCAACACTCCCAAGCATTAGTCCTTCAGGTGCACCATCCTCAATCCCCAGCAGGGCTCCATCCTCAAACCCCAGCATGGTGCCATCACATGTGCCTTCTACAATTCCAAGCAAAAGCCCATCTTTTCAGCCCAGCATCTCATCAGATGCTCCATCTTCTCGGCCTAGCATTAGCCCCTCGGATGCTCCATCTTCAGGCCCGAGTATGGCTCCTTCGCATACACCTTCAAAAATACCAAGCAGTGGCCCATCCAGCAGCCCCAGTCAAAGTCCATCTTCAGTACCTTCCTCATCATTTCCATCTTCGGTGCCTTCCGCCAATCCTTCTCCTAGCCCCTGGACGTGCACAAAATATTTGGATTGTAACGTGAGAAGTCTTGTAGATAATACCGTTGGTGGTGGCTGCGTTGTGGGGAGATGGACAACTTTTGATTCTTGCCTTGCTGACTGTGAAGCAGCTTTTCCAGGGACTTGTAACGGCATTAATTGGTGGACTGGCCTTGAGTCCACCCACGTTACTCCAACTACTTGTTGCATGATGATTGATCCTGGTTGCGCCACATATTCTTATAATGACATAACTTTGGACAGGAATCCACCCCATGTCTGTTTCAGACAATAACTTTGGGTCAATCAAACAACACAGGCTCATCCTGGCAATCCCGGCATTTCTTGAGACTTTGGGAAGGGGGTCATTGTCCAACCCAAAACTATCGATGTGGAAGGCACTGGCCACGCCTGCCAATAGCGGTCTGTGGTTGCTCAAAGCAGAAGGGACACGTATGCGTCGTTCATCAGCTTCGTTTTACAGTTAGCTGCTACCTGGTTTGCAAGTGTTGCCTTGCTTTGTCCTGCACCCATTATAATAAATCAGCCACATAAGCTCTCTCGGCTGCTCAGAGTTTGCTCACACCACATGACTTGATCATGTGTGCGTATCTACGAAATGCAACGAAGCCAAGAACCAAGTTAGTATATCCATGTTCAGATTTTGGCAATGTTTTCTGGCTTGGTGCCACTCATTTATTTTTAAAAGCCAAATTGTTCTTTTCTTGTAAATTTGAAAAAAATCCCATCAAAATCATGGACCACAGGTGGCACTCATTATTTATGAGTCCGCTCAATGGCACTCATTTCTGCACATGGGCGGATATAGCGAGGGTTTAGAGTAGGTAGTATATTAACAGCACTAGCACCCGCTCGTTCCCCCCTAGGGGGAGCCTCAAACCAATCCTTCTTCAATTATCTTATCCCACCTTCCTGATGCCAATGCTCATGCGTGCTTCAAAGGCTCTTTTTTTTGGAACAGCAAGCTCTGTTGCTCCTGAGGATTCGTCCCCAAAGCTATAGTCTTGTACTCTTCTGTTAGCAGGCGCTGGATGTGTTGGCTGTTGAATTCAACCACATCCTGACATGGAAGGCTCGGATATCCTCACAAACTACAAGAATCGCCTCTTGTTCTGTGCTGAAAATCCCCATTTGGTTCCAGTTTATTTGCGTTTCTGTGCAAATGACAAGATCTTACCCTTGCTTGAAACAGCAACTTCTAAAAATGTGTTTCTTGCTCGGTATCTGATAGGCAATTCTTGTTGTATGTATAGCTCTATATTCTCAACTTTATCGCTCCCCTATTGCCGATCAGCTCTGCAGTTGCTCGAGATCATGGTGAAACACCTAGGATGTACCGGTATGCCTGTAAATTCTCTGTTTGCGCTTAAGCCTTGTCACAGTCAATGCTAGCCTTCGAGATCATTGGAAGGGTTCTTCTTCGCATTCTCGTACATCAGGTTTTCATTGAACTGACGTCAGTGGAGGTTCTGACGAAGAAGACGGCAACTACAGCGATGAAGAGGACCAAGGTGGCTACGCTCAGAGTACCAGTTTAGCAGCAAGAAGCATGCCAAGCATAAGACGAAGACACCCACCACAATGATCTTCGCAAGCCAACCTCCCGGGCTCACGTGAGCAGTCTGTCTGATTCGCAAGGTAAGTACTGCATCCAAATCTACAAGCTCCCAGCACCAATTGGGATCCCATAGACGACAATCCTCAACGGTCCGTTCCAAACAAGGGAAGAAAAGTGGTACAGAGCATTAAGAAACTGTACCTGGTCCGGTACAGAGCATGAAGAAACTGTACCTGGTCCACCTGGTCAGCCCCTTGACGATTCATCACACGCCACTAGAGACCGCCTCGAACAAGCCCAACGAAAGATGTCTCCTTCAGAATCCACGAGAAGAAAGTCTTCTTCCCGTCGTGGAAAATCTCCCATGATTGGTGGCCAATCCCGTAGTGAAAGAAGAGCCAAACAGAAGACCGACAAGATTAAACAACAACAACAAGCCCAACTCATGGACTGTGAGCTTTCCAGTGATGAAGAGGAGGATGACAACAATTACGATGACGATTCGTGCCCCATGAGCAACAATTCTACAGCCAATGCCTACCAGTCTCCATTAAAAAAGCAGTTTGAGAAGTACACCAGAAAGCAGATGGCAGCGGAGTACTTCAAGATGCAGAAGGTTTATCATGGTCAGACCCAAGCTACCACTGCCATGGCTCAGCTACCAGCATCAGTGAGTTTGGGTCTTGTATCCGGGTGGTAATGTTGCCTGTTTGGAAGGTGGCGAGTTCAACATGGGCGACCCTATAGTAATAAAAAAGACCCTATGCATTGTATACCTGCATGTTTGGTGAGGTGTATTGCAAGATCAAGTTTTTCAATGAACCAGATGAGAAGGAAATGTTGTGCAAGATGCTAGGCACGCCTCAGCTATATACAAATTGTCACATGGCTGCAATGCTGTGTGTACTGATTGACTGCACACGATCAAAAGCATTGTTTCCATTCGACTAAACCAGCACAGCTGTGGCGCACCCATAGAGGCTCTCTATTGGTAATTTCATAGCTCCCCACCATTCGAGTCATCAAATGGGGGCGTCAACAAGCTTCTCTGAGTCTGGGGCATTTCTCGACATTCCCACACAACTGGGAGCATCTGGTTCCTCAGGTTGGACCTTGGCTGTGACCTAATACAAAGTCAGCAGCCCTCTTGAATACATCAAGGTGTCCATTGCTGGGTACCACTTGGAACAGAGGAAGGGACATCACAGCCACTTGTGATTTCAAACCCTCCAAAGTAGACTGCTGGTTCCAAGAGAGAAAAGTTGTTAGGATCTAGGACGGACGTGGTGGGCGCAGAGGTACTTATTCTTGGGATGGACAATACACATCCACCTTGGGTTGGTCACTCGCGAAGGTGTGTTTGGAACGTGTCTTGAGACTATCTGCAGATACTCCCCATTCACAAAGAACCTATTGCACTTGGACGTCAGTAAGGATCCCACTTGGTCTCCCCATACTTGCACCATAGCTTGGAATTGGCTTAGAAGCCACCTGTTTGTCTCCCCATAAGGCTCAGAGGGGAAGAGACAAACAGTCAGTAGTCACATTGGAATCAATACGTGGTTGACAAAACGTTACAACACAGACATCTCAGGCAGAGATGAGTCTTTTGACACCACTGGTGGCAACAGACAAGTTGCAAATCACAAAACGGTATGCTTGAATCATGATGACAAATCTAGCAAGGGGACTTGTCATACGCTGCCATTTCCTGTGGAAGGTAGCCCGAGTGTGGGTGGCATGCTACCCCGCAGAAATGGGCGGTACCTGGTTTCCTTGGGCTTGACCGGTGCAGCACATACACTAGTCGCCCCATCAAAAATCCAGCTTGGGATTGGGCTTGGGTTTGCCCTTGAAGGCTTCGTCATCTGCAATGGGAGAATCCAAGGTGTCCCCGACTGCTGGGTCAGCTTCACTCTTGGAATCAACTACAGGCGGCGTTGAACCTATCAGGACTTGTCTGTTGGCATCAGAGAGCTTGCACCAGAGTTGGCGGGCGGCGGGCGAAAGCTTGAACCAGTCTGTGCTTGGGAGTCCGAGTGTTGATCCAGGCTGGGGCCAGGTAAGAATTAGTTAGTAAAGGTTTGTTATTAACAATTATGAGCTGGTAGTTTCTAGGTAAATGTCCCCATACTGGAGCACACAGGCCCAGCTGGGGAGTGCCAACTCTAACAGCTGCTAACGGTTTCTGGCTCCTTTGTGGAGTCCTGCGAGCAGGGGGAGCCAGGAGATGGGCTTGCTAGCATTTAATAGTGGTAGGGATCTGGTACAGGACTCAAAGACTTAAGGGTCCTGGTGCCAGATCAACACACCCTCACACTATTACGTGCTTGAGCCCGTGACTGGTGGTGGTGTTGCTGTCATATCTGGTAGATTGGTAGCCAGTTTGTTGTCATGTACTTCGAGCGCTCGGTCCTGTGGTGTGTTGCAGGATGGAACTTGGTGAAGTAGTCTCCTTTGTTGGTTATGCCAGGTCTCCAGTAGATGGTGAACTGGCCTTGTTCGATGCGATCCTTGAGCCAGTAGAACCTCATGTCGATGGCTTTGGATCTCTTTTGTTTGACAGTGCCGGTGAGGATACCTTCAGCGCACTTGTTGCCGGTTTGGATGGGTGTGGCAGGCTGTGGATGGCCCATTTCAATGAGGGTTTGTCGGATTGGACAGGCCTCTTGTGCATTGTTGAATGCTGCTCCTACTTCAGCTTCAGCCTCTGAGCTAAGAACATTTTTCATGATTTTGGCTATGACATGGACCGCTCCGTTGGATGGTGCGTCGTCTATGCTGCCATTGCTGAGGAAGAAGAATCCTCCTGCACGTGATCTTGCTTTTGGAGCTGAGAGGTAGGAGGCATCGGAGTGCATATGGAGGATCATGCCGCTGCGGCTGTACTGAAGGATTGCGTCGGGGTGTGTAGCAGCGTAGTTGAGTAACATGATTGTAGATTGTAGAGTTTTTCTGTGCCATTGGTTTGTTCGGCTGCTATGTCGCCTAGGGCCATTAACATGGTGCAGTCCACTGCCCTTGCATAATAGAGGAGAACACCCACTACTTCCTGAATGTGTTTCACTCCTTTGGGTGGTAGTGGTGTTGATGCATCCTCAGGTTCTGTGTATTGAATGGGTTGGCCGTATTGTGGTACATTCCATCGATGTGGAGCATGTTCCGGGCATGTTGGTGTTGGGTGGTTGAATCGTTGGAGGGCTTGTGAGACATAGCCGGGCATGGATACGTCCACTGTGCCCTGTAGGTAATCCCACTTCAATGCGATGCCACAGTAGAGTTCTCCATCCCAATCTGTGGTGATCTTATATGCGCTTGCCACGGTATCGATTAGGTGTTGGGTATGTTCTTTGCCGACGTATTTGACACCAAAATCGTCCACGACAAGTGTGAATGAAACTGGTCGGTCGTCATGTTTGAATAAACCGTGTATGTGTTTAGATTGATGGTATCCGTGTTGGTTCAAGTGGATGATGAGTGCATCGTTGGCGATGCGTCCTGCTTGTGGAAGGCCGTACATGCCGCGAATTATCTCCACAAGGACGTAGCCATTGTGGACTAGTTTGTATAAGTCATATTGGTCCATGATTTCGTCTGGAATAATATCCACGGGGATGCGCATGTACTCCGGTCGTTCCATGGGAGTCATCAGGTAGAAGTCCTTGATGTCCATTGTCATGTACTTTGCATCCGGTGTGGAGATGACACTGTTGAGGTGGAGCTTGACTGTGGTGAGCGAGGCTGTTTTGGTGCTGACATCGAAGGGGTATTCGATTCTGTCTCCTCCTACTGTAAATCTGACACGTCGCTTCTCTGCTTTTTGTGGTCTGTCATCGCAGACGACCTGTAGATAGGTTGCTTTTCGGTCGGCTGGTATTGCCGTGTGTGGGATGAACCTGATGGTATCCGTTCCTTTGAGCCCCGTGGCAGCACGTCCTTGGGCTAATCGTCCCATTTCATTGCAGCAAGCACTGATCCAGTGTTCTCCATCCGACGATTCTTTGAGTACTTTGTAGTCGGATAGCGTCCCGGTATCGGGGTTGACTGCCTTATGTGCGTAGTGCAGTGGTGCTTCGGTCGCGTTCGCGATTGGGGGCGGTGCCGTGTCTGTTTGGGTGTTGTTGTTTGCGATTGTTGTTGTTTGCGATTGCGTCCTCAGTATTTGGTCGCTTTGGTGTACGTTGATGTTTGGTCCGGCACCCTCAGAAGTGGGCTGACGGTGACGTCTTTCGGTTCATTGTTGTCTGTGCTGTTCGTTGGTTCCGGTGCGATGGTGTTGCCTAATCGTTTGTGCACTACGCTAAAAGCTAGTGTAAAGATCTTTCGAGTGTTTTGAGTTTGAGAGCATGAAAGTTATGAGAGGATTAGAAAGCTATGAAAACTAATCAACGAGAGAGATCCACAATCAAAGGATCGTAGATCTGAACTCCCGCGGGAGACTGTAGAGTGTGATAGAGTAGGTTGCGGTAGCAATCCTACTCACTCCACGATCCAAAAACGGAACGCGTGGAAGATTCGTCTAGCATTTATCTAGTAGCGTGGAAGTACTCCACGCTGGCTAAATATCTAGAGCGATGTTTCATCATCAACTAGTATGACTAGAGCGGTCATTGAGAACCCTGTCTCAATGACTATTCACGAGAGACTCAGTCATGAGTCGAACTCAAACCCTATCTAGGATCGAGTCGCGAATAAGGCTAAGAGCCGTGTATTGCATTTGGAGCAAACCATGAAATGGCATTGTTCATGCACTCATTGACCTGAGTGTCTGATCCATGTGCACATTCCTTGAGCTTCTCGAACGACGTAAAGTGATCCAGGACAGATTTCAGTGAGTTGTATAGATTCTTATTCCTTGTCTTGCATCTGTAAACTTCTGCTGTTTGGTTCTTTCTTTTACAGAAGTCACCGCAGAACTCATGATTATCGAAGTGATGTTCGAGTACAGCCTTTCCACGCTTCATGTATTCACCTTCTGCTACCCCGTTCAGCTGGCGGAGCATGTACACAAAGGAAAGAGTCAGGCAGGTGATGTCTCCCTCCATGAGGCCATAGCTTTTGTATATTCCTGGCTTCTTCATGTCATAAAGCTGGTTTCGAAGGGACTTCTTCCTGTGAGCTGGGTCGGATGCCCAATAGGGAACTAGGATTGGATACCGGAGACCACCACCCTTTCTCTTGATTGGCTTTGGCCTTGTTGTTGCCTCCTTTGGCTTTGTGTATCCAACAATGGGTGTGAATGGTAAGTTGTGGTGCTTCTTGAAGTCTTCGTTTGACCATTTTGTGTTGACTTCCATTGCAGCGTCATCGTCCGTAAGCACTGTCTCAACATGGCACTTGTAATTATCCCATAGGTAGTGGATCATGTCCAGGAGCGAAGCTGGCTCCATTGAACTTGCACTGTCACCGTGGTTCCTGAGACACCTATGCTCTGGTACATCTAGCTTTTTGTTCTCACGAAGGGCACAGAAGGAACAGTGACGACTCTTTACACTCCAACGGAGAGGCTTCCTTGTTATAAAACCAACCAAGAGTGCATGGCCGCTCAAACTGTCATGTTTCCTTCCGCTTCCACCTCTATTCTGCCATCCCATGTCCATTGACACTCTTATATGGGCCATACTGCATGTTTCAGGAAGAGGTGAGTTGTCCACGACACACTTTTCCCATACTTCGTAATCAAAACCTTCCACTGACTTCATTGTTTCTCTAACCTCCTGAAACAGGGTGTCTCGTAGAGCAGTCTCCACTATGGCCTCGATGGCGGGCCATATGTATTCTTCCAAACGTCCAAAGGAACTCTTGGCCATTGTGGTGGCATTGGACAGTCCAAGAAGAGTACAAATTCTTTCAGCTCACCTGGACCATCGCCACAAGCTGTGAAGGCAGTGACAAAACAGATATTGGTACTGTAGTCCCTGTTTCGGTAAGTCTTCTTGTTGTTCTTTTTGGGTTCTTTTCCATACTTGCTATGCTGAGGTTCAACAGTCGTCTCTTTGCCACATCCACTGCAGGAAATCTTTCCTATAGTGGCTACACATACATTAGTAAGTTGCAGTTCTAATTGACATTCCTTCTTGCAGGCCAAACAGATGGTTGCCGTTGATATAAGACTTTGAAGCATAGCCTTCTCCACGATGAAGCGACTTGCCAGTGGTGTTTTTGAAACACGCGCAGTGTCCTTTGCAGTGTCGTCGGTTTGCTCTTCTTCCGATGACTCGGACTCTTCAGATGATTCTGTTTCCTCTTCCAATTGGTCCGGAGCAGTTTCTGCCACAGTAGTGGCAGCCATTGGTGAGTTAATACACTGCTTCTTTGATGCTGCTCCTTGAAGGTATCGATCTACATTTCAAACATCGTTTCCTCTCTTTTTGTCATGCCGATTGCCACCAGGAGCGAGCATTGCCATTTCACGCCGCAGCTTCTTATTGATTTGGGTGTTGCTTCCAAATCCAACCACATTGGAGCCTGAAGTGAAAACCACATTCCTTGAAGCACTTCTGGTGCCATGCCTCCTAGTTTGGTGTGGTGTTACCAATGGTTGTGTTGACCTTTCCCTGTCAGCCATGTTGGGTACCTCTAATAGTGAGCTTTTCTCACCCAAAACATATTCCCGAGAAGCAAGATTGAGATTGGTTACATGCAAACGCTTCGAACTGAAAAGCCAAAAGTGTGAAAAATCTTGGAGCTGAGGTGCGAGATTCCCTCATTTTGAGATTCCTTTTTGGGATGGGAACCACTACTTCTAGGTCGAGCTAAAATGTACTGCTAAATTCTAGAATAGCTCGAATTTGGAGATTCGAACCCGACCTGACCGACAGCGGGTCAACAGCACCACAATGTAGTATGCCAGTTTTAGTCTTGTGTTCGCTAGTAACTGAATAAACAATGTTCCCAAAAATCACAAGTCACAACAACAACAACAACAACAACAGCAACAGCAACAGTATATTGCTGTTGTTGTTGCCATCTTTGCTTCTGCTAGAAGGCAACCACACTCCCCTCCTTGTGATTACTTGTGGTCATATACCCTCTACTACTATTCTACAAAAGGAAGCTGCTTATTTCAAAGGGCTTTACACTGTTAAAGTCAACATCTGATCCTTGCTGTATACTGCACATACCGCATACTGTCTGATCAAAAATCCTGTATGTACCGTTTACGGTTTACCGTACATACGGCATATTCTCAGATCAAAAATCCCGTCTGTACCGTTTACGGTTTACAATACCCACAGTTTACTGTTTACGGTTTACCGTCCATCCGTTGTTGACCACTTACAATTTACGGTTTACGGTTTTACATTTTACGGTATACGGTATCCGCCCGCCTACAATGCATCCAAAGAAGAAACAACGCAAGGGGAAACCCAAAGTCACAGCAGATGAGACAGAGGAGGAGGAAACCAAGATCAATGAGACTCCTCTTCTTGAACCTTACCCATATGGCATCTATCCAAGCTACGAAAGTATCCCAAAGGAAGCATTTGTGGATGCCATGGAAAAGCAAACTCCGATAAAGAAGATCAGCTTACTATGATAGTACACAAGGACACACCAATTATCTGTGGTCACTGCTTTGGGCTAGACACGACAGAGTTCAAATACTCTGGAAAGGTTCGCCCTATTGGTGGTTCTGATTTCAATCAGCACTTAAATCGCAAAATTGCTCCTGAAAATATCGCTTCAGTTGGTTTCCAGACAGCTGAAGTGCAGTCAAAGTTGGAAAGATTATGTAGGTTTTCAAAGTATTCAGCCATTGTTGATCTGTTTGCTTTGTTGATATGATGCTGACTTGTGATGATGCTGCTGTTGTACATGGACACAATGACTTAGATAATGACCAAAATTCGTCTACGGTAAACGGTAAACGGTGGTACTCAGGAAACAAAAGAATCCAAACAATATACGGTAAACGATATAGAATTTTCTTTGGTAAACGGTATATGGTTGAAACGGTATACGGTTGACCTTGTGTAATCGGTGTAACACCGTTCACATTGTTTACCGTATACCGTATTCGCCACCTCATTGGTGGTGGCTAAATTATTAAGCAGAGGTATTTTTTATTTAAGTGCCACCTGGTGGCCTGCTACATTGTGGTGCTGTTGACCCGCTGTCGGTTACGTGAGGACCTTAAAAATCACAAGTGCGACAAGCTCTTCACTGTAGTAAGGCAGTGAGTAGCGGAAGTCCGTCTTCATTTGGCCATTTGGCTTGCCCACTGTCTGACATCGGATTTGAGAAGGGCGCACACAAACAAATAAATGATCAATCCCGTGATCCACGGTCGCACAAGAGCTCCAAAAGGCATCATTGTTTTCTCCTCTCACAAACAACTCACAACTCGCTTTCGTCGTTGACAGCCACAGTCTTGTCATTGCACATAAATTCATTGTTGACAGCCACAGCGCTTGTCATTGCCCAGCCTCTCTTTGCTACTTGTATCACCAATCCGTTTACTCTTCTTCGTCAATTTCTTTCCTTCCTTCTACGCGCACTCTCTGGGGAGCAACCTCATACTGCGACAATGGTGAACAACAAGGAGAATCAGCCTACGCTCGACGCTCAAACTTCCAAGAAGGCCAATGCTCCTACCAAAAGCACTACAGCAGGGACCTTCACTGCCACCGCCGGCTCGAGTGGAATTCCCCGTGCTGAGTTGCTCAATTATTTGAAGGCCTTGATGGATGTGAACCGCCGTCTCAAACTCCAGCTAGAAGACTCGGAGAAGGAACAAAAAAAAACCTTCGTGACCAGCTGACAGAATCTCTGGCCCATCAGGAAATCCTCAAATCCCAGCTTGAATCAGTGACGGAAGAGCACAAGAAGAGTCTCGCAGACCAGTCCAAGGAAAACAAAGACTTGCGTGATCAGATCCACCAGAAAGCTGATTGTATCCAGGAACTTGTCGACCAATTTGTTCGCGCGACCCAGGCCCAGGCCCCAATTGGAGAGTGGGGTGAAGATGACATGGCTGGATGCTGTAGCGGATGAAGTTGCGCCAATTTGCTATGCTCTCTCAAATGACGACGAAGAAGCGGGTTCCGAGTAGATGGCTTCCCAAAAAGGAAGACGACTCAGAGTTGGATACGTGTACTTGCGGGCTGTTGAAGAGGGGGGATCTTTACAACGGATTGGTGCCAGTGGACGAGCACTCCTGCCTGCGTGGACATGGATGATTTGGTGGTGCTTTGGAAAGAAAAAGTCTGTAGATACTTCACCACGCTAGCTCGACCCCCAACAGGTTGGTTGATGGCCCATGGACTATAGGATGCGCACTCTTTCGTTGTCTTGACAGCGTGCTGTGTAAAGGTGGTATCCGTACCGGTACTAGTAGCCTCAGTTTCGAGATCCTATCTTCCGTACCGGTAGTGGTGCTCCAGTCACAGTATGTACTGTTGCCGATGGAGTTCTTGTTCTTTACTCGCCGACTTGTGTTTGTTGTTGTTGTATAGCTCTTGTTGTTGCCAATGGAAAACGTCAGATATGAGGCTCAGTGCTCTCTTACTCGTTGACTTTCCGGTGGAGTTCTCTTGCTTGTCGACTATGATGGTCAGTGCTCAAAAACAGACGGAATGATCGGTACCGTACTTTCGGTGGCTTGTTCCTCGTTGAGCAACACCATCTGGGACCCTCATAGATTACGTTTCGGAAAGGAAGCCTCGTTCCGACTCTGCCTTGCTGAAGGCACTACCCATCTACCTAGCTAGTAGAGAAGAAAGAAGATGGTGAATGGCTAGTCTATTGTACAACGCCGCTTGTAGATGGATTGGATTAGAGAGTATCCAAACTCAATGCAGTAGAAGCATTGGAGGGCAGGAGACTATGTGTGGATTGCAATGGTCGGTTCATAAAAGAGGATGCTTCCCTTGTCTCTGGATGTTTCATTCTTCTAGCTGTCTCGTGTCGTGTGATTGCATGAATGTATTGCCGGCTGTGGCGTTGCAGGATTGTAACTACGCGTAGCTAGCTACTGTAGCTAGGCATGCACCAGAGGTTCGGCACCAACCCTGGTGGCAACTTCTTCCTCGTCGTATTCCACTTGTTTGGTAACCAGACAAGCATTGTAGATACAGAGACAGGTGGATATGGGTGTTTGACGTTGTCGTTTCCCGTCGACGGCTTCGTTTGGTTCTTCTCCTCCATTATTGACATCTTCGTCACTCTTCTTTTTCCAGGCAAAGTGTCGTCCATTGCCATAGATCCCAATTTGATCTGGTTCGAGCATCCAAGGTTGGATGCAGCAATCGAACCAAATGCAAAAGGCCAGCAGCGCCGCCGTTGTGATGAGTAGGCCAACGGGGAAGTAGATCATGTAAAAGAGAAGCCCCACGGTAGATCCTTCCATCTGGTAGAACTTGTCGTAGGGTTCCACCAGCAGCAACAGCACCACACTGCGAGACACGGGAAAGAAGGATCGACCCTTGAAGACGTAGTAGGATGCTTCCGGGTTGCTGTCATCCTTGAAACTGCAATCATTGATCAAGCCTCGCTCTTCCAGATATCGCGCCACTTCTTCAGAGCCAAAGTCACGAGGGAGCACTTTGTGGTTGTCATCGCTACCGCTCGTTGCTTCAACAAAGGTCATGGTGATCGTGGTGATACTGTACAGTAGCTTTTGCAAATAGTTGGTGGAGAGACTTGACCTGTGGATGGAATGTTTTGGGTTTGTGTTGCAGATTTTGTTTGATTTTATGGGCGTTCCTTGGGTGGTACAGGTGGTCGGTGACTGCATGGTGGCTGCGCTGATGCACTTACTTGTTCTTTGTTCTTTGCCAGGCAATACTCGGAGTATGATATAAGGGTATGGTGGTACCGTTCGTACTTTCGTACTTATACATCGGGGCACCTTCTCGAAGGAAAGAGCACCCGTTCGGTGAATGATTACCTCACTGGAGATCAGGGCATAAGATGATCACCTCACTGGAGATCAGGGCATAAGTATGTGTATCGGCAATCCGAAAGAGTTTACCACGTCAGAGAAGAGGGCAGCTGTCGAAGTACATGTAAGTGATGAATTGCTAGTGAGCCAGCAGAGTGGTAAACCTATCCGATGAGTGGCGGTGTTGGCAGTTGCATGCGGAGGAATAAACTGCACTGTACTGCACCGGTGGACATATCAATCTTTTGATAGCTAGCTAGCTACTAGCTAGATGCACCCTCGTGTCCTCTTTTGAGGTGCCAGTGCAAGACTTGAGCGGCAAAGACTTGACAGAACAAGAGGGGTTGAGGCGAGACAAGACAAGGTCAAGCGAGTTTCTAAAAAGCTAGCTACACAGACAAAGAAAGAACCAAAGGAACGGAAACTCCAATCAAGGAATGTAGGACTCATGCAGCTAAGAGGGTACAAACAGCCAGGAAGGTACCACGTGGGAGTAGCTGTGGGAGTCCAGTCCAACTTACTGGGACTTGGGTGCGCGGCACCACCAACCGAGGCCACCAACTGAACCAGCGCAGAGGCAGAAAGGCTGAAAGCCCACCACCAGACCACAAGTGAAAAGCAGCCGGGACCACCAGACACAAGACTTCTAGAGAAACCAAGCTTGAGGACTTGGGAACCACCAACAGACTGACTTCAAGGGAAACTGAGCTTGGCAGGAACAGGAGAAGAAGCAGTGGGGCCTGTGTGTTTGAGCTTGGAACCAAAAAAGGTGCATGCGTAGGGAACTGCCGGCTGTGCCATTGGACGGTGCTGCCATTGGCCAGAGATATCAGGGAACAAGCAGCCAGGAAGGTACCACGTGAGAGTCAAAGTTGCCTCAAAATAGCTTATTTTTCGTGTTGCCGTCACGGTCGCCAGAGACTTGTTGCCGTCCGTGTTGCCGTCGTATCATCATGGTCCCACTCCAATCCAACGTTTCCAAGGAAATTGTACGAGTACCTCGCTCTTGACAGAAGAATTTTTTAGGAGATCGCTTGTCGCTTTTGCCGTAGCATCAGTAGAAGCTTTGTTGACTCAAGAATACAGTAAGCAGTTGGAAGCAATGAATAATTGTAGCACAGATAGAGGAAGAAGTTGACACTTCTTCCATTTCCAAGGTGAAGCTAGTGCATAGATCCAAAATGGACACTGGCGTGGGCTCCATTTTATTAAGAATGAGTTGGAGATCTGTCTGGCCAAGGGGGCTGTTTTGGAAGAGGAGGAAGTTGCTGTGGAGCTGTTACTGAAGATAACACACCATTCTTTGGTCGTGGCGAAGAAGAAGGAGGAGAGGGAGAAGAGTACATAATACATAGTAGTAGCCATTCAATATCGGTGGAAGTCTTTGCGTCGTTGGCTTCGTGTCGTTGGCGTCATGGTCGCGAAAGAGGAAGAGGCTCTGTGGAAGCGGTCATCGATCCACCGACCGAAAAGAAGAGTTGATCGGTGCCAAAATGACATCTCCTTTGCGACCGGCTCGTCCCGTTCGTCCGACTCAATGCACAAAGTAGGCTTTGAAAACGCGTTCGATGTGAGATGGCTGATGATGAGTATTTCTCATGTGTTTGCACTAGCTAGCTAGACTAGTAAACAACGTGACGCGAACGAAGCAACCAATCATTTTCTTACCAGTCGACCGCGGCAAATCATAGTTGATGACGGCGGACAATCCGACCACATCCACTCCTCGACTGGCCAAATCGGTTGCAAGTCAGACCTGTATTTTCCCCAATTGCAAGTCACGCAATCGTCGTTCCCGTGCTTCTTGATCCTGCTTGCCATGAAGTTCGCTCAATCGTATTCCCACTCGTCGAAGTTTGCTTGCAATAACGGCTTCGCATCATGGTCGCTATTGCTGAGTTGGTCTATTCCTTGTTGTTGTTTTTTGTTCAGGTTTCTCCCTCCAGCCGCATTGTTGTCCAACTTCCCACAATTTTAATGTGACAAGAAGCAACCATAGCGTCCAAATTGCCCTTCGTCCTTCCAATTTTTTGTCCTTCGTTTGCAAGAAAACTCGTTCGTTCGGTGCTACCTTCCACTACTCCAGAACACAACCATCGGTCGACACGATGAGCAGCCAGGGCATCGTCGTCTCAGAGAGACAATAAACCAAGTCTTTTTGACTGCTGTTGTTGTGTTGATGAAATTTGAGTATCGGCTTGGCTTGATTCTCCTTGCGTTGATTTTCCTGTTGGTATCTCCGACCAGCCGCAATACACACATGTACTCCAGGCCACAACCATCAGCCGACACAATGATCAGCTGCCGCCCTCGTCGTGCTGCCTTCAGCAGAGAGTAACAACCTAGTTGCTTCCACCGCAAATTCCGCGGCTGCTCAATGAAGACTCCACCATTTCTTTTGTTGTCGGTAGCCGCAATGCCGCAGCATCAGAGCACACCATAATCCACCATCGCCGTCGTCATCGTCATGCCATCACTTTGTCGCTAGCCGCAATGCATCCATCGTGGAGAAGACCCGAGATAAGAGCAGCAAAGCCCAATTTCATCCCTTCGAAGCCCAATCTAGTCTACTTCTTCCCTGCTTTGAGACAATCAGATATGCTCAGAACACCATTGTCACACGTTCTAAGAGGTTTCAATAGCTTGTGAGGTCTTACATAGATGAAGCGAGCCGTAGTGGAGGGTCTTCATTTGGCGTTTTGCGGGTGGCCACGCCACCACGGGAGCGACAACTGTTGGGGTTTCGAAACTACAATAGGGTTGAAGGTTACTCCGCAAAAAGATACCGAGATGAGTCCTGTCAAGACTGAAATGTTTTTCATTTTGGAAAATCAGAATTTGATTTCAAATTGAGTCCCACAAGAGTGTTGCCAGTCCCACGGCAACGTTGCCGGCAACACTGGCAACGTTGCCGGCAACACTGGCAACACTCTTGTGGGACTGGCAACACTCTTGTGGGACTCAATTTGAAATCAAATTTGATCCATTTGCACTAAATCGAAATAATTGACAAAAAAGCTACAAAAAGTAAGTAAAGAAGCAGAGATCCACACGTGTGACCATGACAGCATGACATTAATGGCGCTGCTGGCTTATATTTGAGGAAAGATCCGTGAGACTTGAGAACTCCGAGCTTCGCTTCCTTTTCTACTGTACCAGTAGCTAGCTAGCTAGCTAGTAGCTAGCTAGGTAAGAGATCTTGGTCCTTCGCCACCGCCCACAAAAGAAGGCATACACGAATGCTGAATCCCGAGTTCAAAGCCTTTGGGAGAGCTCTGCATCCTTCGCCATGCACCGCTCACAAAATAACAAATTCGTCGTGACAGCCACAGCCGTCGCGTTGTCATTGCCCAGCTCTCTTCACCATCGTCATTGCCCCAGCTCTCAGCTACTTGTATATCCAAACCTTCCTTTTAGTCTTCTTCGTCGCTTTCTTTCATTCATTCTACCTCATCACGTGACCATGGCGGACAACAACAATGACGAGGAACAGCCTACGGTGGAACAACTGAAATTGAAGTTCTATCATCGTCTCACCATCATCTGCAGAGGGTTCGATCTGCCAGACAAAGCGGAACGAAAAGTCCTTAACTCTCAGGGAGTAAATCCTATCTACGATAATGTGTGGAAAAAGGTAATGGAGGAGTTTGGAGAAGAATATTTATGGAAAACGCACAGCATCGACTATCCCAGACTCGTTCTTATTCTCAATATTCTGAGCGAATTTCTGCAGCTTGATCGTCAGAACGGCACGTTCACCACTTCCACATGATATCGTTTATGCCTTGGTCTTAGCTATCATTCGACTAGAACAACCATCCTTGATTAAAGCAGCCGAAACGGCCAAGCGCACGGGAATAAGCAACCAACCGGCAAAACTCGTCGAGAATATCTTGGAAAAGGCAGAGGAACTTGGTGAGGATTTGGACGAGCTGAAAGAAGCAGCTGCATCCTTGGAGAAACCTACCAAACAACAACCTGCCCAGACTGAAAAAGGTGCTCCTAGACGTTCCGCGCGACGCATAGAAAAACCTCCCCAAGTTGATACGGCCCAACCCCCAACCGGTACCACTGGCAGCGCCAAGAACACCACCAGCCGCCAGCCCACGACCAAAGCCAAGAAAAGCGCAACAAAGAGCCAAAAGGAGCCATCAAAGCCCACTGCCGAGCCCAGCACAGAAGCCAACTCCCATGCGAGCGCTCCATCGTTTGACGACACCCTCCAGTCCACGGACAATGACACCCCCCAGTCCAAGGGCAGCGACACGGAAATTCCAACAGAGAGCCAGAAGGAGCCATCGAAGTCCGTCTCGGAGCCCAAAAGCACGAAAGGCAAAGGCAACTCGCATGCGAGCGATGCTCCAGCTTCGAAGGAAAATGCCACGGATAGCCCCACCAAAGATACTGCAGTAGAGTCCTGTGCTGTCACCACCACCAGCTCAGGAGAACAATCAGGAAGTCCCACCTCTGATTCCACCGAAGATATGGAAGAAGTGGACGGTCCCTTGATGGATGAGGGTGACAGCGATCACAACTTCATGGAGGAGAGCGACAGCTTTCACGAAAAGGAACCGGAGAAGGAACGAGACTCCAACGCCGAGTCTCAGGCCGATCGTGAAAGTATCCAGATGGAGCTTGACGATGCTCGGAAACAAATGGCATCAATGCAAGAGGAGCACGCAACAAAAGTCGAGCAGCTTCGGAAGGAGCGGGACTCCTTTCGCGACCAGCTGGCCAGATCTCAAACCAAAGTCGAGGAGCTTCAGAACCAACTTGCTCACAGGACGACCCAGGCACAAACAAGCGTTGAACAACAAACGAACAGCGATCGCCCTGTTACCACAGCTGCTGCAACTCATGCTGGTAATAATATGCCAATGGTACAAGAGTCAGCTCAACAGTTGGCTGCAAAGGGCCCAGGCAATCAGAAGAAGGCCGCATCGAAGGAACAGGCAAGCAGCAGTCAAGGATCGGAGACAGGGGCCAAAACCCACTTGGAGACAAGTGTGATACCAAACGAAATTGATGATTCTGTTGCCAGTGACAAGGCAAATGACAATGCAACATGCAAGGCTGCAGCCAACTTGATCAAGCCAAATTGTGACAATCTGCAAAAACGCAAAAGACCTGACGGAGGCTTTGCTGCCATGCAAACAACACACCAGGCGATGAAAACCCACTCGAAGACAAGCATTTTACCAAACAACGTTGATGATTCTGTTGCCAGTGACAAGGCAAACAACAAAGCAGCACGCCAGGCTGCTGCCAACTTGAAGAAACCAACCAACAACAACTCGGAAAGCAACACTGGTGCCGAAGAAAGTGGAACTGCAGACCAGGAAGCAGATTGTGAAGATGCAGTCACGGATGAAACCATGGTTGAAGGAGAAGGCGGTGGCGATGCAGCTACCAACAATGTTGAAAATGCGACCAGCGAAGCCACAGCTGGTGAACCTACTAGCAGCTCACAGGAAGCTGCTTCAAATGAAGAAGGCCAAGCAACCGATGCCACCGCTGCTCCAGAGGGTGTAGGAGAGCCAAGTTCTGGCACCCCTCAAGCCGAACCGGCGGGTGACCAGGTGGCTGAGCAGGTTGCCCCCCCAAGTCCCGGGACGGCGAAAGCTAGAATGGATATTTTTATGAAGAGATATGACAGTTTATTGAAGAGGGGGGCGAAATAGACAAGGAGTCGAGTCAAGAGGACCTTCGTTCTGGCAAGGCCACACCCAACTCTCCAAGCTTTCGTCGCGAGGCATCTTCAAGACAGCCGGGAACATGCAAATAAGCTGAACACAATCGGCGCTCTGCTCACGGATCCCTCGCAAATTAATTGTGCTGGAGCCAACACTAAGTCATACTACTATACTCGTCGGCTACGTTAGCTATGAGGCTTTGTACTCTTTCCTAAAGTTCAAGTCACTCCCGCAGTTCGTTCAGCGGTAAAACAAAGGTATCATACTAGTAACTCGTTGCAGCCGACGGGTCCTTCTTGCTGCTTGCTCGTTGGCGATCAGTCACGCACGCTTCCTTGGCATTGGCTTGAAAAAAGGCTCACGAGGAGCATACTGTTGCCTCTAACGGAGGCGCCTCACAATGATCCTCTGCCTCGATAGGCTCGATAAGCTTGTAGACTTGAACCCGAAGTATAGTTTTTGAGGTACTGGTACTTAGTAATCTCAATGAAATGTTGGACTCATGAATCGAATCGAATGAAACAGCCACAAACTTGTATTGGAATAGCTAGTTCATTGGCTGTTCACTAAAAGGTGCTTAGTTTTTTTGAGATTATGAGCTCAGGAATGAGCTTTCCCACCTACAAGCTAAGGTTTCCATTCATGAATTTCCTTCTTCTAGACGTTTCTTCTCTGATTCAGTGGATTGTATGTAAGGGAATGGCTACGATGCGTTAGAAGGGACTACATGGATGAGTGAAGAAGGGTGAACCGTGTCTGGTCAGTTGCTAGCAAATGTCCAGGGGAAGGGAAGGAAACCCAATGAGCAGGCCATGGAGATGGCAGGCAGGGGAGGACAAAGAGTAAACAGATAGAGCCAGGGGATGGAGAGGGCCGATTCAATGGATTGTGGGATTGACTTGACAGATGGCTTGATTTGCATCCCTGTCACCACTTGATTCTAGTCACATTGTCTTCCACTCCACATACCGTTCCAACAATCTAAATCCTGTTTCAAGGCGTCCTCTAGCTCCTCCAGTGAATCCATTGCCCGGTTTGCGGAGCGATTGAAAGTCAAGACCACCGTAATATACTTCTCAGCCTTATCATGCGCCACATCAAGTTCGCTGAGGATTGTGAGGTTGTTCTTGATGGCTTTGACATCCGCATCCACAGTCCTCTTTTCCTTTCGCAAGTTGGTGATGGTAGCAGCGACCCGGTTGGCTTCGATTTGTGCTGTTGCGATTGCTGCATCACATTTCCGGGTACTTTCTGCTCTCTCCGCAACAAGCTCGGTAGCACGACGCTCCAAGGACCGCTTCGTGTCCCACACCACACCCACAACCAAAGCGTCACCAGCATTGTCAATGAGAGTTTGTGTGTCGTTGACACTCTTTTGATTGGCGGCAATTTCTGCATCGATGGCTGCCAACACAGCTGTCTTGATGGTGTTGGCTTTGGTGATACGGTCTTGTCGGTTGGCCTCCTTTTCGACGATCCGACCTTGCAACAACTTGGATGCGCCCTTTCGGTCTTCCATTGAACGCTGTAGAAGCATCAGAACGATGGCTTCAACAAGGCGTTTTTCTGTATCATCAAAAATTGTCATCACTGCGAGAGCAGAAGCCACGGCCGTATTCCATCGTTGACGCTGTGCTTGAAGAACCTGCACTTCAGTCAATCTTTGGTCTTGGGTTGGGTTGGTACGGGCCCGTTTTGCGTCTCGCTGGAAATCGAGCACTGGCTGCGCGTACTCCTTCTCCTTTTCAGTCAAAAAGACTTGCGAGGAAGAGAAACCAGGCAAAAGATAGCAATGGTGAGACATGAGACATGGAACATCAACAAGTTTGAAGGACAAGACCCGGAAGACCTGGAGCAAGAGTCTTACCATCAATCTTTCTCTTGGATAGTACACCATCGCGTGGAAAATTCTTGTTTCTTCAAGAGTTGCGCCGGTGCTTTTGTCGTTCCTTGGTTTTGTGGGTTGCTTGGTGTCGACTTGTCCTTCTTCTTCCAATGATCGAACTGTCGCCTTGCTAGCTTCCTTTCTTGGGTTGTTGGTGTTGTCCTCTCCTACGACGATACGATTGTGGTTGTTGGTCCTTGGTTCGATGGTTCGATGGTTCGATGGTTCGATGGTCCTTGGTTGTTTGTCTGGTTTTTTCGTGTTGCGGTGCTGAAAGTGTTCTTCGGAAATGGATGTCCAAACGGCAAAAACAACGAAAATGTGGCGCCCCAGATTGGGTTGCTGAACCGTCGCGCGCTCCGAGGGACTGGATTGACATTCATTCGGGACTTGAGGTAAGCGTGGAGCGTGGAAGAGGCAGCCCCAGAACGCGGAACTGCATCTCGCTGCTTCAGCACTACAGCATCGATACTTGTCAAATCGCTGTCATTGAACAACCATGGCAGAGACCGGTAACGATGATCTCGAAGATACAAGTATGGCAATGGCACCAACAGACGGTACTCAACCAATAGTAGACATGAAAACGACCGAGACCGTGAATGAACAAGGTAGCCGAGATGAATCGGGCAGTTCGCTGAAGCGGAAGACGACGGATCGTCCAAGAGAAGGAAGCAAGAAGAAGAAAAAGAAGTCCAAGGATGGAGCCAAACAGGGTGGTCAATATTGCATCATTGACGAGCATGCAACAGAACAGGCACGGAGGCAACTGCGTAAAGAGCAACGAACCATCCTGCATGACTTGAAGATCGGTTGGGGTTGTTCCGCGACTGAGAATGAAGCGCACATGGAAGCAGACAGAAAGAAACACAACGATCTATTCAAGCGAGTGCAGCACCCAAGGGAATTCGTGTTGGATGCTGACATTCTAAACGTCCGTGCCATTCAGCTCAACAATAATGTGTCCATAGGTCAACGGGTAAGCAATAAATGTCGACTGGCACCCTCAAGAGATTGCCAATGTCCTGCCTCACTTGCAAAGCCTCACCATCCTCCTTCTCTTTCTAAAGGCTGCCTACAATCCTCTCACGCTGGCTGCGAAACTGAAGGAAAAGCTAACTAAAAAGACAGCAGCGGATGATGAGAAGAGGCGTTTTGATTGGACGCACTTGGGACACGAAGCGGGTGCATGCTTCCGGGCTGTCCCGTCCCGAGTGTCGTTTCTGCTTGGACCTCTGCAAAGCCAGACGATGGCTAAGCAACGTCGACCCTACAAACGACGACACGTCGTCAAGGAGGAGGAACCATTGGAGGAGCAAGTTTTGGTTCCATCGGATGGGAAAGATTGCTCCGCCATTTTGGATCCTGCAGCTCCCATCAAGGCAGTCAAAAAGTCACTCAAGGAGCAGTGCGCGACAGCTGAGACTGGAGAGATTGATATGATTCCGTTCCTCGTAAATCCAAATTCCTTTACTCAGACGGTGGAGAACTTTTTGAACTTTAGCCACTTGATCTCCAAGGGCCTTGCCGGTGTGCGGAAAGACGAGGTGGACGGGAACAGTTACATTTGGTATATTGGACAACAAAAGGACGAGAAGCAGAAATCCGATAGCGGTGTCGTCCATTCCGCACGGCAGCTTGTCATGCCTCTGACCATGCGAGATTGGCGCAAGTTAGTGGATGCCTACAACTTGAAAGAAGGTGGCCTTCCGAACCGTGATTACTCAGCAACAGCTGCAGGTAGTGTGCCCTCAGAAAAAGAATGCAATGAGAAAGTTTCAACTGTTCCCAAAGGACAAAATCAAGAAGAGCAAAAGGATGGAGGACAAGAGGACGTGGCAGCTCGCTGAACATTATGTTGGACCCAAGCTGGTGCTGGAATGGTTTGCATCCTTATCGATTGTATGATTCATGATACTATCTGCTTTTGTTCGTGGCCGCAAGAGTAGCTGACGGAAGATTGCTGCTCAATCAAAACATAGCTACTAGCTAGTAGGAGATTCTTACTATTGCTAGTAAAGTTTAGGCCACAGAACGGTGTGGGATATTGATATGCAGCCATTTATTTGTATGCATACTATGAGACAGATGACGTGGAAGCCCTTCAAGGACTCCCAGCCATCAATTTCATCCACAACACGACAAAGATTCAGCCGGCACGGTTCTACTGAGGAAAGCGAATGAGGACGGAGGCGGGAGGGAGGGAAGAAATGGAGCTTTTGTGCACAGACCATTATCTTGCTACTTGACAAGTGGAGTGTGGTGGTTGTGGTTGTGGCCACAACTCTTCTGCACCGGTTACCTCGTCCGTGACAGTTTTCTCCTCTACCGTCGTGGTGTTTTCCACAACATTAGCCTGTCGTAAGTCTGGGAACGGTTCCAGCATCTTTTCTTCGGTGGGCGTAGCCTTGCGGCCTCGTTTTCGCCGTTTTTCGCCACCAAACAGTGAAGCAAAAAGACCCTTTGACGGTTTAGACGTTTCTGTCTTGCTGGTGGCGGGCTCCTCCCGGCTGCCGGGTGAGATTTCTGGCTTGGCTGTAGAAGCTGCAGTGGGGGATGGCTCATGCGGATTTTGCCAAGCCAAAAAAAAAGTGTTTTTTTGGTTCTCTGTCAACCGATGCATTGTCGTCGGTGTCATTGCCGCTGGTTCCTGCACCAACCGCATTGTGTGTATGTTTGTGGTTTGTTATCTTCGGCTTGCTCCCGCAACTCGACCTTTGGTGTTGACTCAGAAGAAGCGGTCGGGGGTTCAGTATTTTCCTCCCCGTTGAATTTCTGAACCAGGCTCGCGAACCTTTCTCTGGAGGAACCTGGATTATCCCCTGTATTAGGGATGCTTGATGCCTGATTGTTGGCCGTCGAAGGTTGAGCCTTCGCAGCTGATGGCGCTGCTGTAGATTGATCTTGATGTTGCGGGGTTGCAGGAGCCGGAGTTTGGGCAGGTACGGGCGGCGGGGTTGGCTCTTGCATTGGAGGGGCTGGCACTGGCGCTTGCTGCACTGGTGCCGTTGCCGGTGCTGGAGCCGAATCGGGAACTTTGGCGCTCTCGTTGTCTTTTGGCATCTTTTTGTTCCCACCAAACAAGAATCCAAAGATGCTGCCACGTTTCTTTTTCTTTTTGCCCTGCGTAGCCTTGACAGAAGAAGCATTGGTAGAACCACGCAGACTGGCTACAAGTGCCTGGAAGCCGCCACTGGAGCGACGACGGCCACCACCCTTGGTTCCTCCCACGTGCATTGTCGTGAGTTGCTCGACCGGCGCAGCAGTCTGCTGAACACCCGTGCTGTCTGGAATGTTGTAGGAAGACGTAAGATCCTTTTGTTTGGAATCTTGTTCCCTTTCGGTCCGACCATCGCCCAAAATCATGGTCGCCGCGCCCATGGGACCGGCCATACCAAAGGTCTTCTTGACCATTAAGAAGACACCCTTGGTTTCACCCGGTCCGACACGAATCGAGTAGGCATCCTTGCCGGTGACCTTGTAGTTGGCAGTATTCTTTTGCGGACGCACGAGTTCGGCTCCGTGCAACGAGGAGAATTTCTTGTCTTCTTGCAAGACAACGTTGTTGGTTTCGGTATTGGTAAACAATCGGAAATGGTATCCTTCGGGGCAGGTGTTGCGATTGTAGTATTCTTGGATACCTTGGGCATCAGGTTGTCCACGACTACGACAAATGATTTGTTCTCCAGCCCCACCAAAGTGATGACTGGCGGCCATTTCTCGTCGTGCTTTGGCGGCAAAGATTTCGGTGAGCACTTCAATTTTGTCGTGTGCAGCGGCCACATCTTGTGCAAACTTGACCCGGGCCGTCCCATAGCAATTGACACTAATCTCTCGTGGATGGGGCAAATGCTTGGAGGAAGGATCCCACCAGACCTAACAACACGAACAGAAGAAGGCAACAACCATTATCATGAGGAGGCTGACATCACAACAAAAACAACTACATGAAATACCACCAATATTAACCCAAAGACTGCAATACGTACCTGCACAAAAAGATAGTACATTCCAGGATTGATTCCTTGATCCAACTGAATGTATTCATCTCGTTGTTCTCCTACCACACCCTTGATAAATTGACATCCTGCCAAGGACGGCGTGCCGTCTTGGGCGGATTTTCTGGTGCCTTGACCAGAATGGCTCGAACGGACGAGTACTCGTACTTGGCCGATGGTGGTAGCATCCGATTGCTGCATTGGGTAATACCAAATGTGTATTCTCCGGATTGTTGGACATGCACCGTGACCAAATGATATCCCACGGCCGGTTTGTCTTGCAGCATGGCGGCACTGAAGTGATAGTGGTCCTGATACTGATTGACATCCCAGGAATTATAGTAGCGAGCAAAGTCTTCCCAGGCCATCCAAAAGATGCGTCTTCTGCGTTGGGATCGGCTTCGAGGGGAATGCCCTGTTTGCGAATTTGATCCCGAATGGCGGGAGTCCATTGGGGGGATGTGTTGCCCCAATCACCGGTCCATTCTTTGGCATCGCCCCACGGATTGCGTAGCTTGACGAGTCGTTGGGGTTTGCCTTGTTTGGTATTCACAGTACAGACCGCCAAGATACTGTAGGCATGATCGGCCAACAATCCAACCGAATCAAGCTGCTCATCACTCCAGGGCATGTTGTAGGTATAATCAATTCCACAGGACATGGGGAATCGTTGTCGGTAGAATTCTTCCATGAGCAGACCATGGCGATCGACGTCGACGCTTTTGTAATAGAATCCGGGAGCTCCCGTCAAGTCCCGGAGTGTCTCGAAATGACACCCGGCCTCCAATTGAGCGTAGGTGCCCTGGACCTTTGCATATGCCTTTTCTACCATGGGTACCCACAACTCATCGGTGGACGTTTTGCTGAATTGTAGTTTCCCCGAGGGTTGTTCAATATCGGTGGTGGTCTTTTTCAATTGCATGCGTCCATCGGGATGTTCAATTTGTCGTACAATGGTTTCCGTGCCATCGCCATTGTTAGTTTTGGATTGGATGGTGACTTTGGCATTCTTGGGGATACTGGCCAAACTGGCGGCGGCTGCCTGGGACACGGGGTCGTCGCCCTTTTTAATGGGCAGCCAATCGTCCACGACCACTTCGTTGGGTCGGCCATTGCAGAAAAAGCGAACGGCGTAAATGCCACAGTCAGGATTGCTGCTGGGTAGAAACAAACGCGTAACGCGTTCAGGATACAAACTCAAACTGGTCAGGGATGCCAGAAAGTAGCAATTCTCCAATCCACCTTGTTTCACGGCGGTGGGCTTGAGATTCTCCATGGTATACAGTACCACTCCCTTCTTATTCTTGTTTTCCTTGTCATCATCGTTCTTCCAAATATCATGCGCTCGTTTCCAGGCAGTTCGTTGCGTAAATTTGGGGACGTCCACCACAAACGGAGGAACTTCGCGCCTGTCAATCAGAGACGCCACGGTGGGAGGAAACTCCTTGTCGGCAAAGAGAGTGCCTCCTCCCAATTTGTTCACTTCTTCCAACAAACGACCTTCTTCATACGGACGCTTCAGGTGCGTGAAGCTAGCACGGCGGGGCATGTTGACAGAATATACCTACCGGAAGGTATTGGATACCGGTATGGTAGCAAGGTGGATGGGTATTCTTATAATTAGCTGACAGGGAGGCTGATAATGGGGCCTTCAAGAGGGTAAAAGCACGGTCCACTGGCAGGAGTGACCTTGGCATCGTCCAATGGCGCAGGAGGCAGCTGCCACAAAGCTCAATTGCATATCGAATCCAAGCCAAAGATTCTCGATAATAGCTCAAAAGTGAAGTATCTTTCCTGCTTCCACAACAAAATCCGGGAGTGACATGTCAACATCTTTAAGTCCATGTGGTGAGGTCTCCCTAACTATTTTTGTTTTGGTCGCTGTAAAATCGATTTGGAGGTTGCTGCGAAAGATCACGGCGAGATGTGAGCGTCCACGCTTCACAATTTGGCATGGGAGACGATGGAAGCGCACGTGGGCCAGAAAAAAAAAAAAAAAAAAAAAAAAAAAAAAAAAAAAAAAAAAAAAAAAAAAAAAACAAAAAAAAAAAAAAAAAAGGGGAAGCACTAAGCAGCTTAGAATACATATAGTACAT